ATTGCAGTTGCGACTATTCGTTTATTTAACGTGAAAAATATTATTTCAAATTTCATTTTTTGACATCGAACGGTTAGAAATTGAATCCTATTTCGACCATCCGATATCAATGATAGTGCATATAAAAATTTCATAAAATAGGTAAGTCACAAATCACTTTTTCAATATTTCATGCCACTTTAGCTGAATATCCAAGCAATAGTCAAAACCAAAGAAAGCTGTTAGCAACACTAAAGGTGCCGGTTTCGAAACATAAAAGTAGCACTCAGCTTAATAGGATTTCGGTCGAAAAATAATTGTATCAATTCGACGCCCTCGACTAGTTTTCAGAAAACTGATTTTTACTGAAGAGGCGATTGGTAGGTGCAAAATAGAGCAAAATAGTAAGTAGCACCGCTGGGAAAACTGATAGAATAGCATTAATTCAAAGACCACCATATTTATGACCAGTTTTAGATATAAAAAAAGCTAGCATCGATGGAGTTACGTAGTATTACATTTCTACTTACTCAAAATCGTATCATTTACATATAAAAAGCACGTTTGCATGCCACATTATAAGAGAAAGAATGGAATTGCAAATATAACTTAAAGAGTTATAGATCATAGTAAGGAAAATAATCAGAAAGCACAGATATGACGATATTATCGTAATATTCTCATTTGGTAACGCAAATCGTGTACTCTAGACAGTAGCTCCGGTGACAATTACTCTCTGATCACTTTTGCTCTCGGATCTTTCATCTTCAGATTGAGCACTCTACGATAAATTCCTCTTTCTAGGAAATTAAAATCACAAGTTTTCTAAATGACTATTATCAATTTCTTTGGATTGGGTTGATTGGAGAAAATCATTTGAAGGATGTGAGTGATGGTGGAAACGAGAGAGTGGGGTGTGATGGCGAGAGTAAGAGAGTGAGGGTGAAGTTCACTCTTACACCCTCACTCTCAATCTATGACGATGAAAAATCTAAAAAAATTAATTTGATTATCATGACAACATTATGTCTATAGTAATCTGAATGTTTGTTTGTTTTCTATACTGATTTTGCGTTAATCATTCAAGAGTGAAAACCAAAATACAAATGTACAGATTGATAGAAAATCTCGTATGCTTTCCGAATATGATACTATTCTTTCAAAAAAAAAATACTGTTTTAGTAACGATATATGAATAGTACAGTGGGTAGCTTTTGTTTTCGATGAGTATATGTGTCACATGATGCAAGTCGCTGACATTTCGTATTTCTCTAGGACAAGTAAACTTGGTGAAATATGCTCTTTGATCAGGTGGCGCTTATAGGGCTACTGGCCTTCTGTATATGTACTTTGTGCTTCCTCTGCTGCTATTGCCATTGCCGTAGAAAATCAGGTTTCAAAGGTATGATCTTAAATTCTGAAAGGAAAATAGAATTGCATATTCAACCGAATGTAGTTCCAAAACTTAGATAGACCTTAAAAAGTGTATGTTAGAATTATTTGCATGTTCATGGAAGTATCAACAATAGTATTGCTCTGTTTATAGGGGTATCAACAACAATACCCCCTTTTGAGGAATTAACAGTACAAAGAGCTACGAATGTGTCAACAGCAAAGCCGTCCTTCTGGAAAACAGCGGCTAAACCGCCATTAGAAGTATCAACGTCAAAACCAACTTTAGAGGTACAAACAGCAAAACTGCTCTTAGAGACGTCAACGACAGAGTTGACTAAAGACGTATTAACGCAAACACCGGGAACAGCTGAATTATTTTCAACTCCTGAAGGGTCAGTGACACCTGATTGGCAGCATGTTAAAACGCATACTGATGGGCCGTACGAAATATCAGTGTCTGGTGAAATAACAACTATAGCTGAAAGATCCTCTGCCTGGCGCCCCTACACACGTGACAATGAACTGCCTTTAGAATTTACTCGTGCTGTCAAAGATTGTCATCCACCTGATAGAGCCCAGCGGTTCCCCAAAAGTCACAACCGAAAACCAAATTTTCTGAACTCTACTACCGGGCACCGAACCGGAACGGTTAAAAAGAATCGTTTCGAATCGGAATCGCAACCGTTCAGTTTTTACTGATAACTATATTCGTCTATATTTTATCGTCGTTTTTTATTTCAACCCTAGTAAATTTGCCATTCACCCACTGCTATGAATTTTGATGTGATTATATTATATTAGATGATCAGAAAATTTTTTTCCGATATGAGTGCTGCCAAAAAAAGTAAACAAAACATTTTGATAAAGAAATCTAATATTGTTATAAAGATTAGCAGACAAGGTTTTCAATGGAAATACTTCACTTGGTGGAACAAGAAAGATTACTGACTGTGATCCACATTCTACTACGCTGCCATTGTGCAATTAAGAACAACTGAGAACTTCATTGGTAACAGACGAGTTGAGAAAGACGAAATCTTTAATACGTTAATTTTTTGTGGCGATTAAGAAAAAATAGAAAGCAAGTTTTAGTATAACCTATTAAACAGGTGACCATTTGATGCAACCATTCTGTATTTTAGTGATTTTCGTATGTTCACTCTTCTTGCTTATTTCTGAAACAAATATTTTTCAAGAATATTATCTGAACAATTTCAGAAAATAAGGAGTGTACATTTGCCTCGAAAAAGCAATTAGTTTGTAGGCCATTAATAAAACAGTTTTCAAAACGGTTGCAAAAGATATTTTAGGAAGGGTGTGGGTGTGGGATGTTGTTGGTGTGATATGAGAGAAAAGCTACGCCCACACTCACATCCACGCCCAGAATGTGGAGGATATCCCTGCGTGCGCGATAGTGACTGCACAGCTGGCCAACAACCTAAAAAATTGCGAGACATTGCTTTCGTAGGAAAAAGTCAAAATTATCTTTTCCTAAAAAGAAGAGTTACAATTTCTCTTTTACATGGTTGAGATTGCTCTGTACTGTTTTAATGGAAGAACGTTCTGGTGGAAGTGATTGTTGAAATATCTGCAGCGCTTTCTTATAATATTCAAGTGCTTTAGAGTCAAGGGGGAAAAAGCGCGACTTCATCTACTTCAAAAAAAATTTGAAGTACGATGGAAGTACGTGGAAGTACAAGCGAAGTACAAGGAAGTACGAGGGAGTACGAGGGAAGTCCAATGGAGTACAAGTGAATTACAAGGGAGTACAAGTGAAGTACAGGGAAGTACGAGTGAAGTACAGGGAAGTACAAGAGAAGTGCAATGAACTATCTTGAACTATGAATGACTTCTCATATAAGTATCATGGTTTTTATTTTAAGTATGTTATTATTCAGAACTATGATATAAAATACATTCTATGAGAGTTTTCGATAGATATTCTTCTATCAACCTAAAAATATTTGTAGTTTTCATTGCGCTAATCGAACTGATCATTTCATCTTATTAGCTACCAGCAGATGGTAAGAATGCCGCATAGTGTTGTCATCTGATGAGGTCTAAAAATGGAAAAGCTGGCTTTAAAAAGCAGAAAATAGCGAAGAGAAAAACAAAAAAAGAGGAAAAAATAGCGTAAGCTTATAT